GGCGTGGCTGTCACGTGACGGGCGGGGCGGGGCGCCGGCCGCGGCGCGTGCTGAGGGGCGGGGCTGGGGGGGGCCAGAGCAGTGAGAGGGTGTGGCCGGTGTGGCCGGAGGCTGGGCGGAGCCGCGGAGCAGGTGGGGGCGCAGGGGTAATTAAGGCGAGGGATGGGGAGACGGGCGCTGGCTGACAGGGCTGAGCGCCGGACTGTAACTTCGACTGGGTGCCCCATTACCTGCCTTCAGAGTGAATATGTGCAAACTGGAAAGAGGAAGAAATAAAGTTAGTCCCAGCTGTTCACTCATTCCCAAACTTCTGTTTGGGACTTCCTTTCTAACTCTTCCTAGTCATCTTCCTTATGACTTGAAACCACCCTGCAAGTGGAGACCCAGTTTGCTTCAACTTGGCAAGCATCAACATCACTTGGGGATTTATGGAGCCTGAGCCCCACTACTGAAGTTCGCTTGAGGAGGCTGAGTCCTTAGGCCTGGCTGAAGGCAGTTTAAGGAAAGTCTGAATAGGATGAATTGCTGATTTTGCATATAGGGTGCTAAGAGAAGAGATGAAAGAGCACAGCAGCTATTCAGGATCTGTCATCCCTTGAACAGAATGAAAAGGTTGAAAGTTCTGTGCAAGACACAGTTGAATTTTTAAAAATATTTATAATCTACGATTCGTTGCAGAGTATATTTACAGTAATTGTAGAAGATTACTAGGAAAATATATTGGGAGAGAAATAGTTCTCTTTCAAAAGGCTGTAACATTCAGCCAACATTTATGTACTTATTTAAGATTGATTTATTCTAGAGAGAGAAAGCATGTGAGCATGAGAAGGGGCAGAGGGAGAGGGAAAGAGAATTCTCAAGCAGATTCCCTGCTGAGTGTTGAGCCCAACATGGGACTTATCCAAGGACCCTGAGACCATGACCTAAGTTAGAATCAAGAGTCAGCCTCTTAACCAACTGAGCTGCCCAGGAGCCCCCAGTCAACATTTAAAGAGGAGGTTTTCTTGTTCTATCCCTGTAAGCCAAGCAAATTCCCATGAATCCATCTGTTGACTCTTCCATAATATATTTTTCTTAAAATAAATGCATAAAATGCCTTTTAATCATTTAATGAAGTCTGCTTGTTGTTACTTAACTGACTCATCCCAGTTTAATGTGTCACTTGGAGAATACTGCTTATATCTATCTAGTTTCTTGCTGCTAACAATTGAACTGACTAGAGAAGTCTCTGGTTAGCATGGAAGCAAACAAAAAGCCTCATGTTAAAATGGACTTTTCAGCTATCGTCATCTAAGAGTTCACAAACAAATAAGACTGTTGCCATCTTTTTTTTTTTTTTATGTACACTGGGGTGTCATCCCAAAGGTCTCAGTACCAGCACTGGAACCAGTAATCTCTGGGAATCGCAGATATCATCACAGAGATTTTTGGTGTGTGTGTGTGTGTATGTGTGCGTGTGTGTGTGTGTGTTTGTGTGTGTCTGTGTGTAATGCTAGACCTCCTCAATTACAGCATTTGATCAATTGCCAGCTCTTAATCTCCACACACTCAATTTCCCTTCTCCTCTGTCACTTACCCAGTCCCATATCACTTCACACCTAGAGGCAGACCTTTCTCCATCACTGCTTTAAACCAACCCTCCTTACTCACAAGCTCTGGGCTCTAACCATCAGCTTCTAGAGGATCTTTTCATATCTTGCATTTCCTGCCCCTGCCTTGGCTCCAGATTTTCACCATCCTCCTCATCAGCACCTGTTCACCAATTTCCAACTATAAGAAGGCTACCCTCACCAGAAATCAGAAATCTTTGCTGATTTCTCCTTTCCACTCTCAGCCTGATCACCTCTTTGCCTTACGTTGCTCGGTGCAGGGCTCACATTATACTTGTTCCATTTGTTTGTCTTATGCCCCTAAATAGATTCTTAACCCTTGTGACTGATGTCAGATTTGCCAGCCAGGATTTAGCACATTATCCCAAGGACATTCAACTACACTTGCTTGGCCTCAGGCACTGTGGTTCAAGTAACAAGGAGTACCTGGTGCTGAGAAGCAGACTGGCAATAAAATTCAGGAGTCAGTTATGTCCCTCCATCCAATCGCATTTACCTAAAGTCATTCATAGCCTTGTCAAAGGTGCATGTCTTGTTCTCATTCCCTTGAGTAGGAAATCTTCATGTGACCTAATGGTCATTTCGTGGGCATTGTGTCTGACCATGCAGTTCATTAAGTTGATCCTCAAATGCCACATACTGACCAAGGATGGTGGTTGCTATGGGCTGTGTACCTACCAAATTCATATGCTGAAATCCTAACCCCCAGTACCTCAGAATGTGACTGTATTTGGAGATCAGGCCTTTAAAGAGATAATTAAGGTAAAATGAGATTATATAGGTAAGTGGTAATCCAAGATGAAGAGATTACACCATCAAACAAAATGAAAAGGCAACCTACTGAAATGGGAGGAAATATTTGCAAATCATGTGTCTGGCAAGCTGTTAACATTCAAAATATATAAAGAGCTCACACAACCTCATAGCAAAAAACAAACAATCTGATTTTAAATTGGGCAGTAGATCTGAACAGACATTTTCCCAAAGAAGTCATACAGGTGGCCAACAGGTAAATAAAAAGATGCTCAACATCACTAATCTTCAGGGAAATGTAAATTGAAACCACAATGAGATGTCATCTCATACCTGTTAGAATGGTAACTATCAAAAAGACAAAAAAATAGCAAGTGTTGGTGAGGATGTGGGGAAAGGGGAACCTGTGTAACTTGGTGCAGCCACTTTGGAAAAGTATAGAGGTTCCTCAAAAAATTAAAATATAACTACTATATGATCCAGCAATTCCTCTTCTAAGTATTTATCCAAAGAAAACAAAAACATCAACTCAGAAAGATATCTTCACTCCCATGTTCACTGCAGCATTATTTGTAGTAGCCAAGATATGGAAACAACCTAAGTGCCCATCAGTGGAGGAATGGATAAAGAAATTGTGATACATCTACAAGGTAATACTATTCAGGCATAAAAAGGAATGAAATCTTGTCATTTGCAACAATGTAGATGGACCTCAAGATGAAATAAATGCAAAGTGAAATAAGAGAGAAAAGTACCATATGATCTCACTTATATGTGGAATTAAAAGCAAAACAAAACGAAAAATCAAGCTCATAGATAAACAACAGAGTGGTGGTTTCCAGAGATGAAGGGTGACAGAGGTGGGAGAAATGGGTGAAGGGGGTCAAAAGGTAGAATCTTCCAGTTATAAAATAATTAAGTCATGGAGATATAATGTACAGTATGATGACTATAGTTAATAATACTGTCTTGCATATTTGAAAGGTGCTAAGAAAATAGATCTTAAAAGTCCTCATCACTAGGAAAAATATGTTTTTGTAACCATGTAAGGGGATGGAGGTTAACTAGACTTATTGTGATTATTTTGCAATGTATAAAATATGAAATCATTATGTTGTATACCTGAAACTAATATATTACCTGTCAATTATGTCTCGATTTAAAAAATAATTTTAAAAAAAGAGATTACAACACAGACTGAGGGATGACCATGTGAGGACACAGAGAAGGCAGTCATCTGCAAGACAAGGAGAGAGACCTCAGAAGAAACTAAGCCTGCTGACACCTTGATCCTTGGACTTCTAGCCTGCAGAACTGTGAGAAAATAAACTTCTGTTGTTTAGGCCATCCATTCTGAGGTATTTGTTACGGCACCTCTAGCAGGCCATTACAGTGGTCCTTCCCAGTCATTGCAAATGAATCACCATCTGTGACCAGGGGTGGTGGTCCTTTCTTTTCGTGCCACGATATTCACCACAATGTGCCCAGGGAAGGTCACCCTCCCCAATCACACGAGGTCTGTCACCACAAGCTGAACACATACTGACCAGGGATATTTGGACATATCCTCCCTGATAGCACATTTATTCCCTACAGATGCAGAGGAGGGTGGAATTTTATAGAAGAAGGCCTGAATTCAAAACTCCTGCCATTGATATATGCTCCTTCTGAAGAAAGCCTTGCCAGTTATTTTTGTGTCAAGATCCTACAGTTTAATCCATGTGGCAAGAACTAAACAGACACTACTACCTGTCTCCAACTGAATCAACCAGAAAATTGTGGCCAGGCTAAAGGCAGCCAGACACAAGTGGGGGGCAACAGCCTCTGAAGGGGCTTGGCTCAAACCTCCATCCAACAGGGTTACTCATGCTGCATGGACACCGGCTAGTTCACAAAGAGGGAGGAGTGCCGGGTGTACTCAGATGGATGAGTCACAGTGCTTTATCCATGGTGCCTACAGCGCATCCCAGTTTGGGAAGCCCTGGGGACCACAGAGTCCTCACATCCCCTGGCTCTCTTAAAACAAACCCTGTTAACAAAGGTAATTGGGGCAAGTCTTTCCTGATGAGAATAATGACTCAGACTGGTACAGGGTGATATTATTCTTTTCCTCAAAGGGTGATACTAGTCTTTTCTCCAAAGCACCTGTGACTGATGATCTAGGTTGCTAATCAAACCACCCACCACACCACAGTTGTTAGAGTATAAACTTCCGAAATCATCAAAAAGAAGTGTTGTGCAAGCCGCATATGTCATTTTAAATGTTCTAGTAGTTATATTTAAAAAGTAAGAAAAACAGGTGAAATTAATTTTAATAATATATTTCACTTAACCCAGTATATCCAAAATATTGTCATGTCAACATGTAATCAATATAAAATTATTTTTTAAAAAAGATTTTATTTATTTATTTGACAGAGAGAGAGAGAGAGAGAGAGAGAGAGCACAAGCAGTGGAGTGGGAGAGGGAGAAGCAGGCTCTCTGCTGAGCAGGGAGCCCGATCCAGGGCTCAATCCCAGGACCCTGAGATCATGACCTGAGCTGAAGGCAGACACTTAACGAACTGAGCCACCCAGGCACCCCCAATATGAAATTATTAATGAGATATTTTACAACCTTTTTTTTTCACATTGTCTTAAATCTGGTTTATTTTACACCATGCATTCCAATTTGGATACTACATTTTCATTGGAAACACTGTATTTAGTTTTCAATTAGCAATAATTGCGCCTTGGATAAACCTCATTGGCTACGATATTGCCACTGCACCAAGCTGGAAACACTGTATTTAGACTGCACAAAATTCACTGTTGAAAAAAGAAAAATCACATCCGTATGTTGTTTCAAACATAAAAGTTTTCAGTACCTGAATGCAGGATCGGTTTCTTAATTCAGATTTAATCAAAATGAAATAAAACTGTGATGCAGTCACAGCAACCACGTGTCAAGTGTTCCGTAGCCACATGTGGTTGGTGGCTACTGCACTGGACAGTGCAGGTTCAGGGCTAGACTTATGCCTTCCAATTGCTTCTAAACCTCAGATTGTTTAATGTGGTACTAGGCACACTGGAGGTGCTCAGTAACTCATAGCATCAGGGTAGTTGGAAATTTCAAAAATCTGTAAGTCTCAGTAGCCCAATCCCCTTGTTTTAGAAGGGAGATAACCCAGAATGAGAGAAGTTAAGGGGCTAGCAGAAGAGCACACCACTGAACTAGTTGGTGCGTATCTGGACAAGAATTTAGGTCTCCCGATCCTTAGTCCTGAGGTCTTTCTATGTCATTACCTCAGCCACACTTCAGGGCGGGGGGAACCCAGATTTTTTAATTTATTTGAATAATCACTTGAGTAGACATGGGCAAAGAAAAACATACTTATATCCTAGTTGTACTTGCTAACCTGATAAAGACAGTGTGTTTAGAATATCTAAGGGTTCCTTCCACTTGGTCTGGGGTCTAGGTGGTTTAATCTGTCAGTCCCTCTCACCTTGGCCTGTCACCATTTGGCACTGCCTCACTAGTGCACATCCATCTCGCCGCCCACCCCCCCACCCCCGACCGCCCCAGCATCCGGCCACATTTTCTGGTCTGCAGCTGTCCTCTACCAGCTATCTACCACAATTTGCTTGATGTTGTGCTTCAGAGAATCCTTCATATTTGCAAATCAAAGCATTCAGTAGAAACTGCAGCAAAGTTGGAGAAGAGCTGCTACCCTCCAGCCATGAATGGAACCCTGAGGTCCTGGCTCCTGGTAGCTGCGAGAGAGAGGATGTATGCATGGTTAGGTGTGTGGCATCAGGCAGACCTGCTTTCGTGTCTCAGTTCTGCCCAGTTCCAGTTGTGTGACTTTGGGCAACCCTCAGTTTCCTCATCTGTAAAACAAGGATAATAATAATAGCTACTTCTGTGAGATTTAGATACGATAGTGCACACGGAGCCCATTGCTGGAAGGGTATGCCCTCAGTTCATGAGAGGTTTTTCATTTCCAGGGGTCTGCTCGCTCTCCAAAGAGGAGGGCTACATATATCTGGCTCACTACTGCACTTTGTGACTAGCAAAATGCTTAGACATAGTAGGTCCTAATTGAATGTCTGTCTAATGACTTTATAAGATACTTATGGTTTCCCTCACCTCTTAGGATTGATGCTAAGAGAAATGATTGGGGAGAAAATATGGTAAAATCACTGATAAGGAAAGAGGAGAGGGAGGTGGCTGCTTCTGCCTTCAGCATCTACCTGGTGAAGACACCCAGGTTCAAAATGAAGCTGTAGGGTCAACAAATGTTGATGTCTAGGGCTGTGCACGATAAGGAAATTAGAGTCACTAGTGCCTAAAAGGAAGTAGATATTGAGTAGAACAAAGAAATAAATGTAGGGTGTAAGATTGTCACTTATTTGATTTGAGTAGATAAATGCCTATTGGTTCTCCCCCTACAATCTCCTTTCTTTTTATTCTCCTAGGAAACCTCCTCTACCAATGGCATATTCCATCAATCGTGACCTGATGTCCCATTCCCCAGAGCACATAGCAGGTAAGAAATAGTAAAGTTTCCAGGAACCCTTCACTGAGTCAGTTTTCTTACAACAGGGAGCAATAGGTATACATAAGGCAGAGCCAACTTTTAACCTCTCCCAACTCCCTTCTTGGGAATGGTCCTTGCCTCAACTGGCTTAAGGTGACAGCCTGAGCATTGAGAGGCCAATCTACTCCACTAGCTGAGTACTTTCGTGGCACAAAAGTGTTGGTAATTTGGGAAATGGTAACATTAATGATTATCACAACATCCCTAACACTGAGGATATTCAAAGCTTCCTTGAGTTTTTGCTATAGTTAGCCTTACCTCTAGACATATATATTGCATCTCATAGCTTCATTTTCACAAAAAGAGATGTAAGTTTTAGAAATACTTTAAAGGGCACGTATTACTAGCTGTGAGACCTTAAGCAGGTTATAATATCTCCATGCCTCTGTTTCTTTTCATCTGTAAAATGGAAATGATAATATACCCCACAGGCTAAGACTAACATTAGGTTATAAATAATGAGTCTGGCATTGTTCTAAATGTGCTATTTGTGTTTACTCATTTAATCCTCACACTCCTATAAGCAAAGTACCAAGTTCTCCTCTCTCAAAGAAAGAAAACTAAGGGACAGGGAAGTTATATAATCTAAGTCACTAGTGGAGCCAGGATTCAAGCTCACCCTCTACTATCTGGCCTTTTACTGTGGGTACTTAATAACTGTGGTTATCAACAATAGATACAGATAGAGTAGAGGGTTCTTGGGTGTTTAGTTCACCTTAGCTCCTGGAGTCCCTGCTCTTTTCATCTTTTTGTTTCTTCTCACAACTACCATTCCACGATTTTTTCATTTTTAAAATAACTTTACAAATATATAACAAATGCAAGAGGAGGTAGCTAGAATGATCCATGTGCCAATGGATTAAAGTTAGAGACATTGGTATGAACAATGCTGAACTTCATATAGATGCAAATGTTTACCTATAGAAATATTTATAGATATTATAGATATATGTCAGAGCATGTAGAAGAAATGACAGTAACAATAAACACGCCTATCACTCAGACCTTGCTTTCCAATACCATTCTCCAATAAAAGGAACCAAGGCTCCTTAGAGAAACTGATGTTTCTAGGAATGGGGAAGGAAACGTACAGATGGGCCTGGAACGTTGTGTAATGCCAGAAAGAAGGAAATTCCAACAAACAAACAAAACTACCATACACTTATGGGGGTGTGTCAAAGGGACCCAGGAGCCAACTGAAAGAGCTCCCAATGACCAAAGCTGGGACAATTTGAGAAACTGTGTTAAATAAAATAGTATTGGATTATACATCAAAGAGTAACATAGATGTGCATGAGTACATACTAATATAAAAAAAGATTGAATAAATAAATAAATCTTTCCTACAGAAGAATTATGAATAATTTATATAGCTACTCTTCAAGTTGGTGGAGTGAACTCCCCCCTCCTTAAGTGTGGGCTATGCATAGTGACAGTCTTCCAAAAAGGACAGTGTGGAAAGGTGGGGAAAAAATTAACTTTATAGTGAAAAACTTCCAACAGCCATGTGACAATCACCTATGCAAGCCAGGTGATCAAAGTTAAATAATCACAAGTCACATTAATAACACCTACCCTTAATATGATATAAAAAGAATGACAGGGGCTCCTGGGTGGCTCAGTCAGTTAAGCGGCTACCTTCTGCTCAGGTCATGATTCTGGGGTCCTAGGATCGAGCCCTGTGTTGGGCTCCCTACTCTGCGGGGAGCCTGCTTCTCCTTCTGCCTGCCGCTTCCCCTGCTTGTGCTCTCTCTCTCTCTGTGTCAAATAAATAAATAAAATCTTAAAAAAAAAGAGAGAGAGAATGATAATTTGCCTCTGTCATCTTCCTCTTCAAAACCCATAAGTCCCATTTACCCATGAGAAAAACATCAGACAAATCCCAATTGAGGGACATCCTACAAAAATATCTGACCTGGTCTCCTTAAAACTGTCAAAGTCATCAAAAACAAGGGAAGTCTGAGAAACAGTCACAATCAAGTGGTATCTAAGGCAACGTGATGACTAATTGAGGTATCCTGGATGGGAGCTTGGAACAGAAAAATGACATTGAACAATAACTGAATAAAGTATGAACTTTAGTTAACAATATGAATTAATATCAGCTAATTGATATCAGTTCATTAATTATGACAAAGGTACCATACTAATGTAAGATACTGCTAGGGGAAACTGGTTGTGGGGTAGTCTCTGAACTATCTTTGCAATAATTCTGTAAATCTAAACTGTTCTAAAATAAAATAGTTGTTTAAAAGAATGAATGACTCTGTCATTGCTTAAAATATCCATATTTAGAGTTATAGAATCAGAAATTAAAGCCAGAAATAATCTTTGAGATCAAAGGAAATAACCAAAATACAGCTCAGGCAGGAGCAGTTACCCTAGGTTCTATTAACCACCTGTACATACTTGAGCCTCGATCTAGAGCAAGTGAAGCTGGTGCCAGGAGCAACTCGGTGACAGAAGGAGAAGTGGCAGGGAAATCAGGTCCCGGAATCGGTACTTCTCGTGGCCTCTCCTTTGTCTACTGTTAGTGGCGTCCATGGCTCAAACTATAGCCTAGAATCCCATCTGGAGGCAGGAGTGGTATCTTCACCTGAAAAATCCGCAGATGTGATTTTGGATATTGTTCCTGGTTATCTTGTCCTGACCCTGGTTCTTCAGCCTGGATCCCTCTTCTATGAGCTACACAATATCCTTTAAATATGTTCCTTTGGTAGCTTCTGTCATTCAGAAATGCTTAATTGCTTGCAGTTAATAACTCTGACCAATCATACCAAGAACTGGTTTCTGAGTTAACTTCTGTAGGTATAGATCTTGATTTATTTTAACATCAGCCTTCCTAGAATTCCACAAACGAACCAAGGTTAACTAAAGGAAAGAAAAAGTGAAATAAACTTACCTTTTGCTTTATCTGCTATAGAAAACAAGTAAATACATAAATAAATTAAATGCTTAGCATCTTGAAAGATGAAAAAAAAATGTTGGCCTTCTACTCTAGCCATAAACTTTTACCTAGATTTTGGGATTGTGACCCAACTTTTAACCAGCAGAGTGTAAGATTTTCATTGTGTTACTTCCCAGTGATGCAATTTCGATAAATGGGCAAGAGGCTCTGAAGAAAATGAGTGATGACACCATGCCATGTGCTTAGTTCATTATAAATCATTGCAAGTCCCTCCAGCAGTTCTGAGCC